GTCTGGAAGATGATCTATAGGAAATAGTACAGCTTATAAAATGAGTTAGATCAACGTAAGCCGGTAAAGCAATCACTGATTGGTGTGTCCTTTAGCCAATCAGGAAATGTCACAGACCTATTGAATGAAGGATGTGTAGATTGTATAGGAATTCTTTTTGGAGGCAAAGGACAGGCTTGTGTGTTTTGATAAAGTTGGCTTCCAAAATAGAGAGAAGAAAGGTCGACCGACCATTTGCAATAATTTCAAACATGCTATCCGCGTAGTTCAAGATCTACGTATCTACATAAGCCGCTGTTTCCATTTATTAACGTTATATTTTAAGACCTGTGCAAGAACTCAGCTAACAGATGTTTCCGTATATCAAAGCTATCTTCAACTATTATTATATTCAACTAATAAATACGAATTCGTAGTCTTCTAGTTCATTCTTCAACTTCAAACTTCTAAACGTAAAATAAATGGTGTCCGCTTTGTGAGAAACCTTGGAATTATACATGTTTTGTATGTATGTATGTCTGGTCCGCTGGTAAAGAATTATTTGACAAAGAGTTTTCGTGTTAAAGAAATGTCGTTAAAAATACCTACTTCGTTACGTCTTAGACTGATTCTTTTAGACATTTCTTTATATCCTTGTCGCATATAGCTATCAATTACTTCATGCAAGATTACTGTCAATAATTCCAAGTGCACACAAAAAATTAAAAAAATAAACACAGAGGTCACATTCCGAAGGGAAACGTTTATGGCCTTTATGCTGCATGCATATTATAACGTCTGCCCCCCGCCCCGTGTTCAGCGGTAACTGTGAGGGCTTATAGCGATAAAAATTAGGTTTCGATACCCGCGGTGGGCAAAGCAGATGGCACATTGTGTAATGCTGTACTTAACATCAAACAAAACTACCTGCGTGTGAGACGTATTGAATAATGTTTTCTTTCATCATATAATTCTCCTTGTTCAAGTGACGTCATGATTTGATTTAACTGTATGTGAAAAAAAGAAAAATTCTCATTTACCTTTAGTTATTTAAAGTTTCCGAGTATGTGATTACTATAAACAACCCTATCCAATATTTCTACTTTTTCTTCTGTGAAGCTTGTTTCTTCTTCTTCTTCTGTAGATTAATTGCTAAAGTTAATGAACAGGTGTTTCGAATAGACGCAAGAAATCGATCTCGACAATGTTAATTTTGAATGAAGAACAAATACGGTCTGAAAGCGTCAGCCAATCGAACAGATGTTATAGCCACGTGCGGCACTAACTAGAAAAACCAATCCAGCTAACAAGATTTTTTTTATATCCAAATCTAGCTTTTTTTGTTTTGCGTTGTTTTTGTTGTGCAATCAAAGGCCTTGAAAACCTCTCAAGGGCACCAAAAGATTGAAAAACATGCCCCAAAATATACAAACATATTATAGCCCTGACAGTGCATCATTTCTTCATAAATTTCCAATGTCTGGGAACAAACATTTTATTATTACAATAACCTCACGTGATTAGTACTGGTGAAATTAAACATCGATATACTCTGCAAGTGTTGCCGTAAATCTGACATTTTTCGGTGACTTTGGGGTCTGTTTCGTGCATTTAATAGCACAATGGATAAATAATGAACATATTTACCTAAGCCAACATTTAACCCAGTCTAAAAACTTAGAAAAACGTTCTCAAATATATTATCTTGGTTTTAATTACTGATACGTGTTTTGATGTACATACCTATCGATTTCATCCACTGGTTCTCCTTCACCCATGTAACCACAGTAACACCCGTAGCCTTTGTAAGTCAAAGGGTTACATCCTGTAACGCAATGTAATACATTAGCCAGTTGTAGGATACTTCGCCTAGCTCGTGCAGTTCGCGCCTTTTGTTTGGAAAGTCCTTTCGAGCTGTTTATTTCTTGGTCCTTGTCGATCACTCCATGAAGATCATTAAGTCCACTAGTGACCAATTGAGCCAGTCTTGGAACTCCAGTTTTTGATGAATCCAGGTTGTTGGAACACATCTGCAGACTATGAGCTGCGATACGATAAGATCTTTTTATATCGACAATCATAGGATAGAGTGGAAAACATATAGATGGTTAATAAAAATACTGATTCGAAATTTGTCTAAATCCAATTCAAAGTACGAATTTCAGTCAAAGAATGTATTATTAAACAGTCTGACGCACTATTTACCGTAAGTGTAACGTAATATAATTGTAAAGAGAAAAAAAGGATTACAAGTCACATTATAGATTTAGTATATATATATTCTTTATGGCAGGGGTTTTCAAACGTTTTCAGCACAAGGCCCTTACCTAGAACATTCCGCATCCAATGAAGCTATGTAGAATATTAATGCTTGGAGATGGCTTTGAATGGGTAACGAAGAAAAACTTTAATATAAGTTTAACATAACAGCAAATGTACAACGTTTCGACAAGGTTTTGTCATAATCATCGAATCTGTGTAGAGTATCTTAAAAGTATTATGTATTTGCTACGACCTCCTTGACATTTTTCTGTGGCACACTGTTTGGGAGTCCCCTGCATTATAGCATACGTTACGTACTTGAGTTTTCATCAGCAATTTATGAGAGCGGCATTTAGGATATATTGTAGTAATAATTATTTCAAACAGCTGTATTACGCTAATCCTTCAAAGTCATTAGAAAAGCTGTGTTACACTAATCTTTCAGTAATTAGAAAAGCTGTGTTTTCTAATTACTTTGAAGGATTAGCGTAATCTGTGTTACGCCAATCCTTCAAAGTAATTAGAAAAGCTGTGTTATGCTAATCCTTCAAAGTAATTAGAAAAGCTGTGTTATGCTAATCCTTCGAAGTAATTAGAAAAGCTGTGTTACGCCAATCCTCCAAAATCATTAGAAAAGCTGTGTTACGCTAATCCTTCAAAGTCATTAGAAAAGCTGTGTTACGCTAATCCTTCAAAGTCATTAGAAAAGATGTTACGCTAATCCTTCAAAGTCATTAGAAAAGATATTACGCTAATCCTTCAAAGTAATTAGAAAAGCTGTGTTACGCTAATCCTTCAAAGTAATTAGAAAAGCTGTGTTATGCTAATCCTTCAAAGTCATTAGAAAAGCTGTGTTATGCTAATCCTTCAAAGTAATTAGAAAAGCTGTGTTGCGCTAATCATTAGTTTTACTCATGTTTCACAAGGCTTGTACCTAAAACAGAAGCGGGTCGCGGGTTCGAATCACCGTCACATAAAACATGCTCGCCCTTTCACCCGTAGGGTGTTATAATGTTCAGTCAATCCTACTATTCGTTGATAAAAGAGTAGTCCATAAGTTGGCGGTGGGTGATGATGACTAGCTGCCTTCCCTCTA